GAAATTCTCATTTTAGCAATAATATGTTATAATTAAATCACACAAGCTATAAAATGTATCTACTTTAAGCAACCACAGCTATGAAAAAAAACACAAAAACATTTGGTTCAACCCAAAATAAATTATACTTATTAATCTGGCATCTGAGAAGCAAGTCTAAGAGGAAGGTTATAATATTGACAATTGAGGTGAAAAAGGAACTTAGCACAAAGCATTAAATTGGCACACATACAGTTGATCTGGTGGCTATGTTTAAAATGCCAAAATCGACCAGTTAATATAATTATTTTTAAAAATACATTACTTACATATTTTATGTATCGTTTTAATTTATTATTAGGGAATTTATCTACAGTATTATTTTTACTTTAAATTGTGTGTGTTTGCTGTTTTAAGTTTATTGAAATGGGTATTGTTTCCATTATTTTTAATGGGAGAAATTGACTGACTTCAAATGATTCAGTGTTTGAACAGCTTCCTGGAATGAATTAAATTTGAAGTATGAGATACCACTGTAGTTATAAAATTTATTATAATAACAATAGTGATTTAAAAAAAAAAATTATTATTTTTCACCATAGTCTCTACTGCTTTTTGATGCACTTAGTATGTCATTTACAAACTAATTTTCTCAGATAAGAATGTTCAGGCTTAAAGGCATGTTATGCATGAATTGTTTTCTTCAATTCTTCATTTGTGACAAATTGACATCTTATGGCACTCTTGAGTGGACTAAATAATGATAGTTGAAGATGTAAGGTTACAACTGTACAGAGGATGCTTCAAGAGCTCAAAATGAAGGGCCTTGACAGTTTCAATAGTAAGAGAAAAAATTTGTGCCATTGCAGAACAATGCTCATTTACAATACTACGTTTGACAGTAATTTTCAGCATTTCAGGTTCTAGCTTATAATGTCTTGCTGTAACAAGTTCTGTTCATTATATGAGTCTTTCTCTTGATAATGCTTCAGTATTGGATTTTAGGAATCTCATAAGATTGTGCTTAAGTTTCTTTATTGATACTTAAGTTTCAAATTTTTTTCTAACTGGTGATGTTTTTATTCTAGTCCAGTTTATTGTCTGATTGATATTACTGGGGATCCACATTTCATTATCAGTAATGATTCATTTCAAAAAGTTATTACCTTTGTTTTCATATAGACAAGACAGGTTTTCAAACATTTACATTTCTATTTCTCTATCAATTTTGTTTTTGGATTTCTTGTCAGAATTAAATAAAGACCACTTTTAGTATAAATGGTTTTGTTTATGGAGTCACAGCTAATTTTCCTAATTTAGCTCCTTTTTTTTTCCTACTCTTTTATGCATGACACTTCTTCAGCTACTTTTGAACTGTATTTATGAAGTTTTTAAATATACATTCCACTGTGACAAAATAGTATCTATGCTCCACTGAAAATGTTTGATGGATTTCAGTCCTTGTATATCTTCAGTCTGCAAAACATGGATCACAAATTGCTGATTTCCACTGTTGTAGTCAAAAAACATAGTGGACATGATTAACAAACTAACTGATCTGTCAAGTTCAAAAAAGTGACTAAGAAGTCATTAGTCATGTATGTATAGTGTGACACCACAAAAAAAATTACAACTACATTGCATGTAATTATTGACTTCTTCTCATTACTTGTAATGAATACTTCAAGGAATGTATCATACTATAATAATAGTAACATTATAAAAGTATTGCAAAAGTTGATACATTAAATGAAAATAACAGTATATTAAAATTTAAATATTAATATAGAGTATTAAAGAAAAAAATATGATGATTTTTCTACTTAAATGAAAATATTGTATTTTATAATATTATACTATTATTTTTATCAAGAAAATTACATAAATTGTCATTAATTTTATAATACTGAGGGAATTTATACTTTTACTTCATTATTTATTTATCAAGAAGTCATATTATTTATAAAATTTTATTGTTGATTTATTGGAAGCATATTAATCCCAATATACTTCAACTACATAACCTGTAGAGATCATATTTTGATACCTAACTTAGATTAGAAAATAACAAGATAATGCATAACCATAAAGAAATACCATGAATGAAATCTAATGTCATAAATTATATCAAAGAATATCCAATTATATTTAGAGAAGATTGTCTAATTGAAATTTATATATATATATATATATATATACTCTGAATATAAACAGATGATTATAAACATCAACAGGAGAAAAAATACACAGTTAAGATAAATAGTTGTCATTTCAAATATATTTTTTATTCTAATTTTAATCTGTTTGGTTAAGATGAAGTTAAAATGAAAGTATAGAATTAATTTCCATAAATATATCATTAGGCAGAGGAAAAGCATTGCAAAAACCAGACAATACTTGAAGAAAGAGAGAAAACATGACTATGGAAGAAATTGAAAGGTGAATGTAATAGTAAAAGATACAAAAGAATCAAAACTCATTCTTTCATGTTTATTTAGTTAACATGAAAAAGAGAAATATATCTGCTTATCTAAAATATACTAGGTATTTTCTGGGAGCTCTACAACATAAGTTTTCTGTTTCAGCTTGACACAAAATCACAGATGTGGTGACATGCTTCTAATGTTCTGTATAAAACAGTTTAAAACCTGCAGGTTCAGAAAACATGTCAGGAAACATTTAAATCATCCCATGTGTTGCCAGTGACCTAGAAACTCCAGCAACCTGTTAAAACATGCAAATGTGTGGATGCAGGACACATGTTTATATTTTGAAACTGATTTTTTCATGTAGTACATGTTAAATGCCCATCTTAAAAAAAGTTGTCAGAGATCAATGTAAATTGACAACAATCAGAAACTTGATTAACATTAGCACAAACAGCAGTCAGCCCATAAACTTTACTTGATGAATTTTGACCCTGAATATCTCTTCCCTTGGATCAAATTTCAAAATTTTGGCTTTGTCATAACATTGACCTTGCCAAGTTGTACATATTTGCAAAAAATTATGTTTAATGGTTATGCAGTTGCTTTAAACTTTGATCACAGATACTTTCTGACTTATGCATTGCTCCACTCAATTATGAAAAGGGTAGCATAAGACAATATTCTTTATGAAAAACTGACTGGCAATGTTTTCTTATGTATGTTTTTAAAGAAGTATTGAAAATGATATCATTTATAACATGGATGATGATATCTTTCAGATACACAAAATTATTATTTTATTCATTTAAAAACATATTATTCTCTATAATTTTTCATTTTTTTTTATCTATTACTGTTACGATGTTTCATGACTTTCTAAAAGTGTTATGTCTTTATTATTATTCATGTTTTTCTAATTATTTTGATTATTCTTGCATATTGATAGTGTATTGTTCAATAATAATAATAATAATAATAATAATTCAGAATAACTGATAATTGAAATACAATATGAAATAAACATATCAACAATAAATCATATAATCAGTTTATCTTTTATACTTCAAACAGATATACAAATATTAAATCTTCATTTTTAAATTTTAATATAATAATCAATAAATAATATAATTCTAATTAATGCAGTAAATTATGTCATTATAATATAAATTTTGAAATACAGGGTGTTTATAATTAAAGTTCCACTTTGAAATGGCCATAAAATGAAACTACTGGACAGAATGTTATCAAACTTGGTAATAGTGTACAGGACGTCATGGGATTTTATTTCCCACAAAAAAAAAGTTTAAAAACTCACCACCAATGGGAAATGGCACTGTCTGCAATATTGTTAAACAAAATAAGACATGAAGACATTGTTGAAAATGTTTTTAATTGGTTTTAAAGTGCGTTACAGAGCATGTTCAATGTGGTGTCCACCATTTTTGATAAGCAAGTTACATCACATTACTGTGTTCTCAACAGAGCTCTTAGTATATCACTTTCTTCCTGCCATAAGCCATTGTGATTTTGCTTAACCCCATAAACAGTTTCATTTTAAAACCAGTTAAAAACATTTTCAACGATGTCTTCATGTTTTATTTCGTTTAACAATATTGCAGACAGCACCATTTCCCATTGGTGGTGAGTTTTTGAACTTTTTTTTTTTTGTGGGAAATAAAATCCCATGATGTCCTGTACACTATTACCAAGTTTGATAACATTCTGTCCAGTAGTTTTCATTTTATGGCCATTTCAAAGTAGAACTTTAATTATAGACACCATGTACTTTTTAAATTCTAATTTATCAGAATCTACCATTAAATTCTATTAATTCCCTAAAAATCTCATTTTTAATACATATTAAACTGTAAATCTGAATACAAATATAAATTAGTTTTGAATACCAAATTTTCTTATTAATAGCTTCTTTTAACTGAAATTTTTAAAATTATAATAATAAAATTAAATATAATTTTATTATTATAATAGAGTATTCTTAATGTAATTTTTTAACTGGTATTGTTTTTTAATTTATAAAAAAATTGTACCATGATGATTTTGAGTTAGCAATATTTTATAACTAAGATTTTAAATTGGCAGTAGAGATATTTATTTGTGTTAAAATAATATAGATTCTATATTTTTTTATGTTTATAATAATGCTTACAGAATTTTTTGTCATAAAAAAAAACTGAAATTATGTAAGAATTAAGATTTTTCCCCCTTATGTTACTGATGTGCATATTTAATTATGTTAAAAGCTATAAAAATATAAATTATTATGAAACATTTTTTCATTGATTCCATTATTTTAGCTACTTTAGTTTTGATTAGTTATCAAAATATTAATAAATAATTTTACACTAAGAAAAAAAATTATGATAATAATAATAATAATAAAGTAATTCATAGAACTGGTATTTTAACTATTTAATAAATTTAGCTTTTCTCAGTAACATCATCTGCACTAGAAAATTTAAGTTTGTTGTTTTAATAAAAATATTAAAAAATTTCATTTATAAAAAATCATTTGGAATTTATTTAGCCTACTAGCAAAATATCGATTCCATCTTCCTCCTGTTCTCTAAGGTATTAATGACACAAGATATGAAGTGGAAGATGATGTTGTCAGCAGTCCATATTTTAATTCTTTTCCTTTGGATAGCACATTAATATCGGTTTTAGAGTTCAACAATTTCAAAAATCATGATCAGAATAAACCAGACATTTGTGATTTAGAAAAGAAAAACAGTGATTCAAACAATGTTCGGGTTTTAAAATCATCTGGTAGTAGTAGTCCCTATTTTTCTCGAAAACAATTGATTGAAGTTCCTCAGTCCCTGAAAATGTGGAAGATGAAACAGAAATGGACGCCGCCAAAATCTCCATTTAATCTCATTCAAGAAAGTCTCTATCACGACCCATGGAAGTTATTAGTAGCAACTATATTTCATCATCGTACCACAGGTAATAGTTTAAAACTAATTAAGATAGGTTGTGAAAAATTCTTTACTCATGTTAATAATTAATTTTATAGGTAAAGCAGCAGCACCAGTACTTTGGAAATTTTTAGAACATTTTCCAACTCCAGAAGATACATGTAAAGCTGATTGGAAAGAAATAGCTAAATTATTGTTACCATTAGGTCTTCATGAAAAACGTGCAAAAATCATCATCAGATTTTCAGGTAAAATCATAGATACGAATTAGATAATATAAATTATAGAATATTTACTTATGAAAACAGTAATAATAATGTTGTTTATTGTAATATTAATCAACAATATTTAAGATTTAAATCACATTATTAAATTATAGTTTAACCTGCTTATAACGTCATCCATGGGACCAGCAATTTTTTGATGTTATAACCGAGTGTCATTATCTGCGGGGTCGTAATTTCAATCCCATAAAAGTATCAAGTCTGTTTAAGAATCTATTATAAAATTCATCTAATTTAATATCGTATGTATAAAAGTGCAAACTAAACATTTAAATCAACTTTATTTACATTATTATGTCTAAATTTACAACGATGTAATTAAAAATTTCAAAAATTATTTTTTATAAAAAATTTTTATTTGTCAAGTTTCGATAATGGCGGCACTTTCAGTTTTGAGAATAATGTCGAATCAAAAGGCAACAAAAAGTTAAATTAAGCATGAAACGAGAAAATTATCATCCAGGTGTTATTAATGCCTGGATGATAATTTTCTCGTTTCTTGCTTATCTATCAATGGACATGAAGTCCAATATATTTCACTTTTAGGTTAAATTAATGTATATCAATTAAAAAGAAACAATAAAAATATTCACTTAAAAAAAGTCAGTTATTTTAGATTGTAGGCATTTTTCACCTAAAAATTGTTTATCAATGTCATTTTCTAAGTCGTAGATTTTGTTCATTATTTCCGATGAAGTTTTACGAGACCTGTAGAATTTGCTAAACCAAAGTCTCTGCATACATCTGCCTTTTTTCTTCCACTTTCAACTGCTTTAATTATTTCTACTTTGCAGTCTAATGTTAACGCTTTCCTTTTTAAGCTAGCCATTTTACCTGATTTGATGCTAAACTACAACACGAGTATGAGAGCTATGCAGACTAACCCACTGTCACGTCGTTTAAAGGGGTGGCGCATCTCAGTCCATTGAATCAGGTGGTGACAGTACCACCCACAATCGTTCTAGGAAGCGGACTCTGACCCTAGGACTGAACACGTAGTATTTTCTTTGATAAATAAAATTTATAATTTAATTTTGTAAATTTAAGAGTGTTTCAAATATGACGTTAAAACAGGGTTTTATGTCGTTACAAGTGGGTTTTTTTTAACATTATCTAGTATAGTAAAATCGTGGGACCGATAAAAATTTGTTGTTACATCCGATGTCATTATAATTGGGTTAAACTGTATTTTGATTATAAGCCAAGCTAATCAACTTGTCTAATAGTTAACCAAACCTATCAAAAAATGTGTGTTCTTACAATTCAAAGCAATAGAAATGAAATTATTTTGAACCAAAACATTTTGATTTAATTGTTTAATAAAAAAAAAATACATTTTATAACTGATATATTAATACAGTAGAGTCCGGATAACTTGGCGCAAGCTGTTATCCTTCCTTCTTTCTGCAAACGATGATGGTCAAGGTTTTATCCAGAACTTAAAGAAAATTAACCTATTGGATATTGTTATTTTATCCCCATCTTTTGTATATTCTACACATGTAATGTTACTGTAGCCTCTAATGTTAATGATCTGTAATAATGCCAATATGTTCTTGTCTGCACCTGGTTATATGTCTATGGCACCAGGTATGTACTGTAACTCAGTATTTTATTAATAAAATGAATCTGAATCTGTTGGCTGGGTGGTGGACGCCTGGAACGAGTTAGAGTCATTAACACTAGTTTGTTCCTGGCGAAAACTCCTTGATTATGAGGGAAATGAGTTTGTTGAACATGATGATACAGAAAATGTAAACTTACTTGACCTCCTGAAAAGAGTTCCTGGATGTGCAGAAGCCGATGAAAATGATGTAGAATAGTGGTTCCAGAACGATACTGACATTATGTCCAATGCAGAAATTATTGCTGCTGTCACAGTTAATGAAAAAATGCCGGAAAATGATGACGTTGACGTTGAGGACTCCACCATATAAGCTCCTAAAATATCACATAGTGAGGGACTAAAGGCTGTCGAAACCACCCTTCAGTATTTTGAACAACAAGGTGCATTGGTAATGGACTTACTGTTCCTTCATCGTCTTTGTGATTAAGCCGCAAAACACAGAGTGCATTGCGGAAGACAACAGGACATTACGCATTTCTTTAAAAAAAAAAAAGTAGCCAGTTTTTGCAAAGTTGGCAAGTTAATTTTCATTATAGACAGCTTTATGCTTCATAAAGTATTTTTCTGAGGTCTGTCTTATCAGGTAAATTACTGTACACTGTGTATTCATTAATTTTCATTTTAATGTAGTAAAGGCTCTGTGCCTTCATAAAAGTAAAGTTCAAAATACACACATATGCTGATTAAATTCAAAACTTATATATATTGAAAATAAACGTATGTACAGTTACAAAGTTCACAAAACAAACATTTACAAAACGTTAATTATAACAAAGTTCAACACATGTATCCACTATCACAGGTCCGTCGAAAAGACACCTTGCGACGAACTAGCTCTAAAGTCATTTACAGTCCAACGAGACGAAACAATCTTCGGGAACAGCTTAGGCGAACTAAGACCAAACGTGAGTCTACTTTCCGAGTCCACAGTGAATTGAACTTCCCGCCACAACTCAATCCTTTTATAGGATTGAAGAAGAATTGGATTTCACCAATCAGCACTTAGTAGCTCTACAAGACGTCCACCTATGGTGTGATGTCTCTCAACCAATCAGTGGTTGAGAGACGTTGAGTTGAGACAACTCGTTGAGTTGTCTCAACGAGTGGTTGAGAGTGGTTTTCGAGTTTTCAAAAGTGTTGCTGTTCCTATGGCGACAACCGTCGTTTGTTGAGCGATTGGAAAAGCGCGGGAAAACCGTGTGCCAGACGATTTTTATCCCGACAATAAAGTATGTACTTTTTTTTTGTTTAAGGGTATTTGGGCAGTTTATTCTCTGTTGCAAACAAATACATACAAGTATAGTACAGTATTTTCTGAGGAACTACTTGTACTTATTCTTTTTTAACCCCATTCCCAATAACCCGACATTTTCACAAACTTGGCCACCCTTCGGTCCACATTAGGCCGAGTTTTCAGGACTCTACTGTAATAATTAATGACATTATTAAAATCATAAATTTGCTTACATCAGAATATTTTTGTTCGTGTTACTTTAGTAACTGCATTCAATTCTGGATTAATGTCCTTGAAGATGAAAAACAAAATGTTTTATATAAGACATTTAAATTAAATTTAATAAGTACATAAAATATGACATTTTTACAAAAGTAAAAAACCTTTCTTCTGTCAATCTTTCTCATCAACGAACTTTTTCCAGAAGACAACGAAACCACAGATCACCAAATTCACAGGGAAATTAGGTCTTGTGCTCTTGAGGCCTACAATAACTATAATGATTCTCCATTCACCTACACCGAAATAGATAGGGAGTTTGAAAAACTAAAGCACAAGAAAGCACCCGGGCCGGACAAAATCACGGCCAAAATGGCCAAACTTGCGTTTAAGGCTATCCCAACCACGTTTAGCCTCATAATGAACAAATGCCTACAGCTGGGGTACTTTCCTATCATATGGAAACAAGCTTCTATCAAGCTAATACCGAAATCTAGCGACAGTTCTCCTCCTAAAGCATCCAATTTTAGGCCCATTTCTCTACTTCCATTCGTTGGCAAGGTCCTTGACGCCTTAATGGTGAATAGGATCACCTACCACTTTGAAAAACACACTATTATGAACGACAGCCAATACGGCTTCAGAAAGGGCAAACGAACAATCGACGCCATTGATAATATCAAGAACTACGTCCTTAACGCCCGACAGAAAGGAATGCACAGCCTGATGGTTACCATCGACTTCAGGGGTGCATTCGACCATGCTTGGTGGCCGGTCATTTTAAACAACTTGAAGACCAATAACTGCCCAATGAATATCTATAGCCTTGCAAGAAGCTACTTACAAAACCGCAGTATCATCGTGGACACGGGCAATTTCAATCTTCTACATAGGAACATCCATAGAGGGTGTCCTCAGGGCTCGAAATCGGGGCCCTATTTGTGGAATATCCTCTATAATGGACTCCTAAATCTACAACCAAATTTCCCTAAGGACTATAACGTACATCTGCAAGGGTATGCAGATGATACAGCCCTCATTCTTAGTCACGTAAACTTGAAAGTACTGCAAGATAGGACCAACGAAGTTCTAGCCATTATCCATGAATGGTGCAATGAGGTAAAGCTTTCTATCAATCATACCAAATGTACCGCTATCGTTTTTCCAAAGGGTAACCCACTCAAGAAAGGGCCCAGCATCAAAATAAGCGGTAAAAAGATCCAAAACGCAACTGCAGTCAAGTATCTAGGGATTATCCTCGACCATCGGCTAAACTGGACCGACCACGTACATCACATCTACGAAAAGGCTACCAAAGTAGCCCAAGCGCTCAAAACGATAAGCAGAAATAAATGGGGCTATGGTCCCTCGGCGAGCAGGATTCTCTACACCGCGGTTGTTGAGCCCATTATTACGTACGGGGCAGAGATCTGGGGCTCATCGGCTACGAGGGTCCACATCAAACGTAAGCTTCTCTCCATCCAAAGGCTGTCGGCCATAAACATTGCCAAAGCCTACAAGACAGCCCCTACAGAGGCCCTTCTTGTCCTCAACAACACTCTCCCTATTGACCTTAAGATCAGAGAAGCAAATATAAGATATAATTTGCACAAGTTAGCTAAAGGGGAGATAAATCTTGAGACCTTCAGCACCGCTACTTGCAAAGAGACTTACAACAATGAAATTAACCAAATTGCGATGCACGTCACCACCTACGGCCTTGACAAACACAAGGACCTGCAGTACATCCACCCAAGCTTCACCAGCATTCAAAGTTCAATACACGATCCAATAGATAAACACTCAATCAGCATTTTCACCGACGGATCGAAATCCAAGCTCGGCGTTGGCTGTGCATTCACAGTCTATAAGGGAACCCAGTGT